AGAGTACCGTATCTACTCGCCTATAAGTCTTTTTTTTTTGGGGGGGGGGGGGGGAAGTTAACATTTGGACCCAAACTCTATATCCGACTTATAGGCGAGTCATTGAAAAAAAACCTGGCATTATTTTGGACAACCAAATGTAGTATTTTATAAACATTTCCGACGATTATCGTTGAGTAAATTCTGGATATATGCTAAGATTATACATAAAGTACAAGTATTTAAAAATTTTAGTTTACTGTATTGTAGTTTATTTTTACCTTTAAGTGTGAATTAGTTATTTGTTTAATGACTGAGAATAAAATATTGGCGTCATTTCTAAAAATATTAATTAAAACCAGGTAAAAACATCAAAAGCTTTAATTTGAAATTATCGACCAATCCTGGCAAAAATTTGTACCTACTTATAAGAGGGTCACTGGCAAATCCTACCAAAATTACCTAAAAAGAAAATACAACCGTGCAATGCCTATATCATAGTAGCTGTGCGTAATGTCAAAGAACTCTATGCTTCTCACTCTCAAAAACGTCAATGCTAAGGTTTAAATTGCATTCAAAATTGTCCAACCCCCAAAACCATTTCATTTTACTCAAGTGTGTTGTTCAAATTAGGAAATGCAATTAGCAATTATCCTGATGATGCTGCAATAGCGTGAAGTTTAATTGTATCTAAATTGAAATAACGAATCAGACAATATATATGTTTTGTTTGAAATGAGTTTCGTAAATTTTCATTTCACATGCAACCTAACTAAAGAACTTCATGTTTCCCATAAATAACTTTATGTTCTCTTTCTCGGTTGATTTTTAATTCTCTTCGCTATTCCTCTACACAAAGTATTAGGCTAAAAATTGATCCAGAGGAATAATGAATATATTTAAGTGTTGGAGTGATTTGATTTAGATCTAAATATTTTATCCAGGGTTTCAAATATATGCGAAAAAATATTCAATTTGTTTGAAAACACCAACACACACACACACACACCCTCACACACACATACATATATATATATATATATATATATATATATATATATATATATATATATATATATATATATATATATATATATATATATATATATATATATATATATATATATATATATATATATATATATATATGTATATGTTTTTTTCAGCTTTTATGTATAAGCCTTTTTATATATTAGCTTATATAGAGCTTGAACTATAATGTTAAGCTAAGTTTGTTTTATCGATGCTTAGAATGTCTACCTTTTAATTTAAGAGTGAGTTAAAAAGATCGATGTCTACATGATTAAAAAAAAATAAACCAATGTATCAAATAGTGAAAGGGGGGATGTCCATCATCCATAATTACACCAGAAACGCATATTGTACCTGAAAAAGAATTGATTGATTTTTTCATGATTTTGTCTTTTAATTCATCTGCAACGTTTACAGTGAAAATAAATATCATTGTTTGATATTTAACAAACTTGAATCAACATTCGTCACATTTAATTTTGAGAGGAGGTGTCTTGATGAAAACTGAAATTAGATTTTTTGTAACACAGTAGCAAAATTATTATATTGAAATGTCATCTTGTTAATCGAATTCTATTTCTTTTTTAACCTTCCAAGCAGTTCTTATCAATGAAAGCACAATGAAAGTGTGCGTACTTCTCAGCACTAACAATATATTCGAGAAGTGATGTAAATCAGATGTGGATACCTAATACTCCAACGGAATTTTAGAAAATTTTGAATCCCAGAATTTTACCAAAATCAATAAATTCAAAACGTACGACTTTTAAACACTTTATACAACCACTTTATACAACCATTCCCTACGATAAATTAAACTCCAAGCTTTTTGACGTCTTGGACAGCTGCTTTTTCAATAAAGATGAAACTTGTAACTTTGCTTACCTTGTCACTGGTCATTTGCAAAATTATTTCGTTAAAACATTCTGATTGTACACTTATACAATATTAAAAAGATACTTGAATTTCTTATTGACAATATCTGTGTAGTTTCTGCAGATCAGGCCTTCCAGCAATCTGTCAGTCGCCAACGTGGCGCAGTGGTTAGAGCGTCTGCTCTTGAGTCGCAAAATAAGGAGTTGATCCTTACGTCGCTGGTTCGAATCCCACTGTGGGACGTGGAGACCGGTCCTTCGGATGAGACCGTATAAACCGAGGTCCGGTGTCGCAGTAGGTGCTGGCACGAAAAAGATCCCTCACTGCTCAATGGCCTTAAGTGCCGAGTATATGACAAGATTTGCAGCTCTCCACCGGCAAGTGGTGGCGTCTCCATATGAGTGAAAAAATCTCAAGAGGAACGTTAAACAACATACAATGAATCAATCCAGCAATCTTTTGGGATTTCCATGAGTACCAATTGCACCCCGTTATTAGTAGATCTATCTTTGTATTAATATGAATCAGAATTTATTAAAAAAATGTAAACATGAGGGTAAAAACACATGCTGTGGCCTTTAATTCGACATTAATATATATATCGACTACGTATTATCAATTAAATATAGATACTTCCATTCATATGTCGACTCGATATATCCCAGTGAATTTGTTCGAGTTTCATGTTCGGATATTTTACTAGAAAAAGACATTAATGGTAACCTAACAACAAAACTTTATGATTAACGTGATGACTTCAACCTTTCTGTTGTCAACTTCCCTTACTTATGTAGCAAAATACTCTTATTAACCTGCATATGGGGTTTATGTCTCCCAGTTGATTCGATACGCAAGAGCATGTTCTACATGTACAATTTTTAAAAAAAGAAGCAAGCTATTGACAAACAAGTTGATGAAACAATGATGTCAACAGTTTCGTTTAAAGTCAACATTTTGCATGTTCTATGGATGACACAATGACGTTCTCAGCAAATACAATCTATCATTAAACCGAATGCTGACTGACTTTTTTTCATACTAATTTACATACTGAATTGTCCACGGATTTTTCGGTTTTCCTGATCATGACAATGAGCTCACGGCGGGTGTGACAGGTCGACAGGGGATGCTTACTCCTCCATGGCACATTATCCTACCTCTGATGTTAGGTCAGTGTTTGCCTTGCTCCAAATTTCTTTTTTTTTTAATGGACTTTTGAGCTTGATTACTGTTTGTTATCTCCATATTTCATTTTAAAAGATATACCGTAGGCCTACACGGGTTGCGCATCTTTTCACTATCATACATAGAAAATCAAGTGAAGAAAGGTAGAATGAGAACTGATATTCATTAAAAATATAAATTCAATGGTATGTTGTAGAAACACATATTACTATATGCAAGTATTGTTCATTGCAAATTATTTACCAAAACATTAATGCATGAGAATAATCATTGCTTCTCTATTCAGAAACTTTGAACTGAAAGGTATTTTCGTTATGATTTTCAATCAATGTTCATGCCGTTTTGGGTAAATAATCACCAATGCACTTCAAAAGATAAATAATTAGTTTCAATTGTATGCAGTACTACATGCACCTGAGAATAGATAAGCGGATTGAAATTCACTTCAAAACTATTATTCCAATCTAATTTTCTAGAAGGTTTGTGCTGAATCGTACTGCCCATTTCATTACTCATCATAAACTTTTTTGACTTGTAACAGACGGATATGACATTTATATATCCAATCTTCTAGTAGCAGATGATGATGATCGCTTCAATGATTAAAAATCACGAGGAATTATAAAGAATTATACAATTTATTCATTTTCAATGATATAGTCTAAAAATATTACAGAAAAATCCTATTTAATTGGAAATAAAGTGCATCGTTTACATTTACAGGAATTTTATTGTCGATTACATGAAAGTGTCTATACTTAAGTAGATAGCAATATTTAGCTAAGAATAACTAGGCATATTGCTTAGAATGTTTATGCAACGGAAATAAAGCATGTTACTCAACTAAGAATATGCTTAGGAAAAGTAAGCATATACTTTAGAAAATTCTTAGAATTTTTACGCATACGAATACTGGTTTCATATATCAGTAAACAATATCAGTTTGCAGACCTTTTAATTTCTATAATTTCATTATCCTCAGCTGTACATGTTATGAACATTTTGTTATCAAATGTCCGTTAATGAGTTGAATCCAAGTTGATCTAAGGGTCCATTTGTTAACAGTACAATAAAGCAATCATAGTCTCTTCTCCCAATGATCTAGCAATAATCATAATACATGTATTTGTAATTTGTCTGTATTGCTTTCCAAAATTTTCTCCAAACTTGATTTAGGTAGTTTCCCTGTTAAATTTTGCATGTACAACACACTTGTTGAATATCATTGCTGTGACGTTTCAATAAAACTGTTCAAGAAATCTGAGAAATCTCCTGTGGTCAATAATAGCTTGAATAATAGCAACATTTCACCAACTCTGTTCTGAGTGACATGAATATATCGTCGAGTTATTATCAATTTACAATGAATATTAACGCAACAAATAAATAATATTATTCACTTATATACATACAAAGGTAAAAGTGAAAGTGGTCTCAATTGAACTTAATACACAGACCTAATGCAAATTGAAAAGTATTGAAATGTTTCTATAGCAACTAAAAAAATAAAATATTACGAAATAAATCCATTTGTTGGTAATAAGAATTAAATGAGGCTAAATACTTAACGAAATTTGTGTTTAATCAAAGAAATCTGTAATGATAAGAATTAAGTGAGGTTAAAACGTGAAAAAAAAATTGTGCTTTGTTAAAGCAATCTATACTTGTACATCAGGAACAATGAAAATTAATAAAAAAAAAAAAATAATAAATTCTAGTGCTTATAACTTTTATCTATTTTTTTTTTTTTTTTTTTTTTTTTAATTTTGATTTGGTCTTCATATTAAAGAAAATTGCACAAAGTAGATTTACAACATCAAATTCGCTTAAATTTGTTCGCTAAGCAGATGTTGAAAGAAAATTTGCCATGCTTTGCATGCCACATTAACTGTCTGCCTATATAGCAATCCCTTTATAGACTGGTAAAAATGGCAACAAAAGGTAGGCGGATTTTTCTTGCGCAACTGACAAACTGACAGCAATAAGTCACATATGCAGATTGAAATACAAGAGGTTTAAATATTTGTGTTAAAGATAAACTGAGTTTTCCTTCTTAATTCACAACTATGGATGGATTTTTCGTATTGATGACTATAAAGATCATTTTGGTACTTCTGCCCACATTTGTTGTAGCCTCAAAATCTGTTACACAGTTCTATGTAGAATATTGCAAGATTGACGACAAACTTGGTAACAGTTCTTTACTCGGAATATTTTCTGGAAATTCACGATTAGCATGTGCTAGTGGATGCAATGAACAGTGTACCTGTATTGGGTATAACAGTAGATTAAAGAAATGTCGCATTCATGAACGATGTCCGTTCAACACCATGAGGAGACCTGAAGGTGGATGGCAATATCTCGTGAAAAAAGGTAATACATGTGCATGTATTTCATACATTTTGAGTTCTTTTTACATGATTTCAGGAATCATATGTAAAGGGATATTTTACTGGGTGTTTTTCTCTTCCCTTCAGTGTTTGACTGTAAGGAGCTGTTTGATAATGGTGTCACGATGTCTGGAGTATATACAATTCAGCCTGTGACAAATCAGCTCACCGATGTTTATTGTGATATGGAAACAAACGGAGGCGGTTGGACGGTACAGCTAACTAGATTTTTTTGAGTTTTATTTATTTATTTATTTATTTTGTTTGATAGTTGGTATTTGCTTGTTTTTATCATTTTATAACCAGCAACACTTTTTTACAACTTTTTTTTTTGTTTTTGTTTGTTTGTTGTTTAACGTCTCTCTCGAGAATTTTTAACTCATATGGAGACGCCACCACTTGCAGCTGGAGGGCTGCAAATTTTGACCTATACTCGGCACTCAGGGCCATTGAGCAGTGAGGGATCTTTTTCGTGCCAGCACCTACTGCGATACGGGACCTCGGTTTATACGGTCTCATCCGAAAGACCGGTCTCCACGTCCCACAGTGGGATTCGAATCCGCGACGTAAGGTTCAACTCCTTATTCCGCGACTCTAGAGCAGACGCTCTAACCACTGCGCCACGCAAGCGACTATTTGTAATTCGTAAATTGATCCAAATTTAATTCATTTTTGCTTTTTCAAAAATTGTGTAAATTTCTACCTTATAAAGAAAGTTGTGATCAATTAAGCTACATTTACCATTCCGGGTAGATTCTATGTTTTATTGATTGCTTCTTTATTAGGTACTGTTAAAACGAATCGACGGCTCAGTGAATTTTACTCGAAGTTGGAATGACTACAAAACTGGTTTTGGGGATGTCTTCTCCGAATACTGGATTGGTAAGGAAAAATTGGAGACGTTTGTTCGGAAGATGGATAATGTTAAATGCAAAAAGGTTTAACTTCGTCCCTTTTTTCTGATTATTTTTTTTTTTAGGAAATGACTTCATTCATCACTTAACAAGATATGATACTTCCAAGTTGTACGTCTCAATAACCCATGTGGACGGAAGAAGGTTTTTTGAAAGATACAATAGGTTTTCGATTTCCGACGAAGCTAATGGATATTTGTTGCATTTTGGAGGTGCCTTTGGAACACTTGGTATAGTATAAAGTTTTTACTCTTAAAGATACGCTTATAAAACGTCCATGTACCTGCTATAGTGATTATTGTCGTGCATTTTTAAAAAACATGGAAATGCTTTCGGTGTAAATATAAGAATATCGCCAATTTAAAGACCGCTCGTCTTCATGTTAATACACTAAGCAATTGAAATTACTTATGAATTAATTCACTTATTCAGCACCGTACATATATTTCACAGAGTTTTGAATTTCCTGCATCCAATTTACATTTTTTATATTCTTCATACTCTACCAATTTTTGGATATGTTGCACTTGTTGTTTTCAAAATAAAGCATATAATGAATAAGAAATGCACCATAAAATGGAAATTTTATAAAGATGTACTTTTGAAATCAGGCTTGGGGCGAATTACTTTGTAAAGTAATGCCCTACATTACAGACCCTGAAACGTGCTACTATCCCATAAAAAGCGTGCGACTTTCGTGCGCTTTTCGTTTCGAGCAAACCGTGTAGCGTTTCGTGTAAACCGTGCAGCGTTTTGTGTAAGCTTCAAAGCGTTTCGTACAAACCGTGTAGCGAGCGTGCGAGAAGCGTGTGAGAAATGTGCGACTTTCGTGTAAGAATCGTGTGAGAAACGTGTAGAATTCATTCGGAAGTCCTTTTATTTTAAATATGGCTATTGTTGGATCAACATGTCATTCTGTGTTGTTTGTAACTAATATTATTCGGATATATCATACCGGTGGCATTTTAAGAGTAAAAAATACAGAAACAACAAAATAATATTACTCGGTAAAGTATTGTATATTTGTTTGATTTTCTTTCTTTTTTCTTTAAATAAAGATGGACAGTAAATGTGTTAAAAGTAATCAATTATGTACACATCAATTTTAAGGTATTTTTAAAGGGAGCAATACTGAATATTTTTTAAAAGAAAATTCATTAGGAATCCGGCCTTGTCCTTTTCATTCATTTATTTGAATCTCTTCACCATTTTACAATTATGGGATATAGAGATTACAAGAACATATCGGTGATTAATGGAAAATAATAGATAAACAACATGTGTTTGTGAAACACTGATGCCCCCGTATGGCAGCTTATGGCTAAGGTTAAAGTTTCTCAAATGCAAGTCAAAATCCAGGCCAAAAGATAAAAAATGTTAAATTTGAAAGCCCTAGCTGCAACTGTTCAAAAGTTATGGCGAAGGTTAAAATTTTTTAAAAGTAAGTAAAACATCAAGGTCAAGCTCAACGTTGTTGGTATTCAAAGGAAGGTCTTGTCACAAGGATTACATATGTATAGTATGAAAGCCCTAGCACCAACCATTCAAAAGTTATGGCCAAGGTTAAAGTTAACCTTAGCCATAAGCTGCCATACGGGGGGCATCAGTGTTTCACAAACACATCTTGTTAATTCGTGAAATTAAATGGTTTTATTAGTATTTAATGGTTACAAAAAATACCCGTGGATCTCATTTCTTAAATTTATCCGATTGTCTGTAAACTGTGAATTGATTTGCCAGTGTATTCGTGAATAAAAACAAGGTGTGTTTGTGAAACACTGAAGCCCCCGTATGGCAACTTATAGCAAAGGTTAAACTTTCTCAAATGCAAATCAAATATGTTGGTACACAAAATAAGGTCTTGTCTCGGGGAGTATACTTGTGATATATGAAAGCCTTAGCAACAACCATTGAATAGATATGGAAAAGGTTAGAGTTTTTCAAAAGTTTTTCAAAAGTAAGTCAAACATCAAGGTCAAGGTCAAATGGTCAAAATTAATGATGCCAACAGAATTGCCTTCTCACAAGAAATACACAAGTGAAATATGAAAGCCGTAGCACCAATTGTTCAAACGTTATGGCCAAGGTTAAAGTTTTTCGACAGTAGGTCAAACTCCAAGGTCAAGGTTAATGGATTACAATTGTTGGTGTCCAAAGGAAGGTCTTGTTACAAGGAATAGACATGTTGAATATGAAAGCCCTAACAACAAATGTTCAAAAGTTATGTCAAAGATTAAAATTTTCCAAAAGTAGGTAAAACTCAAGGTCAATGGTTCAAAGTTGTTGGTATCCAACACAGGTACTTGTGGACAGGACCCCTCCCCCCCCCCCCCCCAACCCGAATATACCCCACGGATCAAAAATTTATTTTTATGTATTTTTTTCATAAATTATTCTTCTAGTACACATTTACAATGTATTCCAAAAGAAAAATCCAAAAAAAATAACGCAGAATTAACGTTTTACAAAAAAATCATACCGTGGTATTATAAAATAGAGAAGGTAAGTCACTTCCATTTGTTTACACTGGACCCCTCTTGGATATCAGGCCCAAAATATCATTTACCTAATACATGTCACCCAAATGTGTCATGATATCTTGTTTCGATAGATATTTTTGTCTTTAATCGTGCTATTTAATTGCCCAGGCATTCCATAATAATCCGACTATTCATCGTCCAACGTGAAAAATGCTACAAAATTTGGAAATGTCAAAGTAGAAATTACGGAAGTGATGCAAAAACGACACCTAGCGTGTAACTCTCGAATTCCGAGTGTTATAGAATTGAGGGAAAAGCTAGATGTCCACGAAAAATTTCGGGAAAATTTTGATAAAGAAGTCGAAATTGATTCATTAGAATTTAATTCTGCTTAAGATTTTCGAGATGAGCGAGGGTAGTTGTCAATATTCCCTTTAAAGGATGTTATCACTGATACCAAATAGCGTTTTAAAAATCCCTTAAACATTTATTTACAAGACATGTAACCCCCCCCCCTTCCCCTTCTACATGGACATGCTTGCGATTAATTCCGATAATATTAAGCTTAATAGTTATGTGTATTTTTTAATATTCTTATGCGATGATTATCATTTGTCAAGGGATTTAAGTGTGAGTCTTTTCAATATTAATTCTTAAGAATGAAAATCAGAACCCCATTTTGATTTTTTTTTTTTTTTTCATATATAATTTTCATGCTCTCCTTTACTCTCGCGTCGCACTGCTGAGTTTATTTCTGGCCTTAATTATACATAAATCAAGCTGCTATTATCTTGATTGAACAAATGGAAGCTTAACTTTTATAAAATAAAGACTTTTAAAACATTTCTTTAGGTACGTCTTATCTAACAATCATAGTAAGGTAATTGCAACTTGTAGTACGTAGCTTTTGACGTCTAAATATTGCATGGGTTTGTACAACCATTCATCAACCGGTCAATTGTTTTCTCCAACACTGTAATGACGTGCACAGCCCCCCTTTCCAAAATTAATCAATATTATACATGTTGCGAATTCATAACAAATGGAAAATAAAGATTTTTTGAACAGTTTTAAATAATCGCATTTCTGTCTTTACTTATTTTTAAAACTAGTTTTTCATTCTAAATATTATATTTACTACCACATTAATTTAACGGATATCCACCTTTCCGCAGACACAATTTCATGAAACTTCCATGTCCACGCAGAAGGGGAAGGCGGCCGAGGCGGGGTGGGGGTGGGGGGGGGGGGTTTACATGTCAAGATTATAATGTTTAAGGGATTTTTAAAACGCTATTTGGTATCAGTGATAACATCCTTCAAAGGGAATATTGACGACTACCCTCGCTCATCTCGAAAATCTTAAGCAGAATTAAATTCTAATGAATCAATTTCGACTTCTTTATCAAAATTTTCCCGAAATTTTTCGTGGACCTCTAGCTTTTCCCTCAATTCTATAACACTCGGAACTCGTGGGGTATATTCGGGGGGGGGGGGGGGGGTTCCTGTCCACAAGAACCTGTGGTATCCAAAGGAAGGTCTTGTCACAAGGATTACATCTGTGAAGTATGAAACCCCTGGCACCAATTGTTTTAAAGTTATCGCCAAAGTAAAAGTTTTTCAAAAGTAGGTCAAATTCCAAGTTCAAGGTCAAAGGGTCAAAGTTGTTGGTATCCAAAGAAAGGCCTTGTCACAAGGAATACATATGTAAAGTAAGAAAGCCCTAGCACCATTTATTAAAAGTAATGGGCAATGTTAATGTTTTTCAAAAGTATGTCAAACTCCTAGGTCAAGGGTCAAAGGGTAAAAGTTGTTGGTATCCAAAGAAAGGTCTTGTCACAAGGATTAAACATTTGAAGTATGAAAGCCTTAGCAACAGCCGTTCAAAAGTTATGGCCAAGGTTTACAATCAGTAAAATTTTGCAAAACTGGGTCAAACTCCAAGGTCAAGGTCTAAAGGTCAAATTTATGGTACCCAAAGAGAGGTTTTGTCAGAAGGAATACACATATGAAATATGAAAGCCATAGCTTCAGCCAATCAAAAGTTATGGGCAATGTTAGGTTTTTGCGGACAAACAGACAAACAGATAAACAGAACAGACAGACAGACAGACGGACGGACAGGGCAAAAATTATATACCCCCGAATCTTCGATACGGGGGCATGAAATATATTAAAAAATGAATCCTGAATAATTATATATTAGTTGTTTTATTAATCACGCAGTACTAGAGCATGATTTTTTTTTAGTTTTCAGGACATTGGGCATGTATACATATATATTGACTGTATTGTTAAGAGCCACGACTATTGATTACATAACTATTGATTTTTTTTTTTTTTTTTTTTTGGTCTAGACTGGGTTTGAAATCAAGTATTTTGAAAGGTGGCGGGTAAATGTATATTGTTTTTATTTGATAAACACAATGCCTCGAAAGAGAACTAAAGAATCATAATACCTATCCCCAGGCTTCTCTATCATATAAAATTTTAATGATAAATTAAAGTTTAACTCTGTAATGAAACGGTATATTTACCATTCTGAATAAAGTGCATTTCATGAAGTACATGTATCGGGTCCCGCTGGAGATATGGATATCCTTAAGTTTTTTTCTTAGAACGGGCACTTGTTTCTATAATCTTTTTTTTTCCAATCGTATACTTACTAAAACAAGTATCCGTTAAATTTAGCCATGTACAGATTTGAAGATACAACAGTAGGATCTCGGTATTCCCCCCCCCCCCTTCCT